TCAAATCTTGCCTCAGATACTTATTACCTTTGTGATTGTAGGCAAATCATTTAACTTCTCTGGGCCTGAGCTTCTCCCTCCATTATAGTGAGAGGGTTAGACTCAAGGGTCTCTAAACGACCTTCGAGTTTGAAATCTGTAAGATCTTACTCCCTTCAAAACCTTTACCCTGTAGTAAACTAGTTTAGCTTTACTCCATCCTCTACCCTTGAAGCCATTGTCCCTTGTCTCTTGTTATATCAATTATCCCTTTCTAAACCCCAGTTCCAAATAACTCCTGCCATCTACATGTGTGTTGCTGAACACTGATGGAGGAAGCAGTTCACTTTTACTGACTGAGTGTAATACAAACGTATGTTTGTGTGCCAGTCCCTTTACACTTTGCTGACTCTCTGTCCCACTCCCCTTTAGCATCAGTTCCAAACCTGCTCTTCTTTCTTCAGTCCACCTCTATTACACTCTTACCCTCTCACTTTAACAGACCACCTCTCTCCAATTATCCTTGAAATCACCTCTGCTTCATCTCTCCCCTCTCACAACACTCACTCCTATTTTACTCTAGTCTTGGATAAAGAGATGGCCCTTCTCATAAATACCAGCCCCTCTCCTGTCCTTGATCCCATCCCTCCTGTCTCCTCTTTGAGTTACCCCATCGGTCATCTCTTTGCTGATCATTTTCAGTCTCCTTATCCACTGCTTACAAACATACCCAGAACTTCCCCATTCTTAAAAACAACAACAACAACCTTCCTACAGGGTTCTGAATTCTAATCCTAAACATGATGATGACTTGCTGTGTGACTTCTGGGCAAGTCCCTTACCTTCTCTGGTGCTTCCTCATTTATACAATGAAAGTGTTGAACAAAATAGCCTCTAAGGTCCCTTCTGGCCATAATGCTTTATGGTTCAATGAATTTATTCCATAAACAAAGGGAAACCACTGAAGATTTTTGAGTAGGAGAATGATGTGTACAAAATAGCACTAGGGGGAAGGGGGTGTTAATCTGACCCCGAGAGAGGTAGCATGGCATCACAGAGTGAGGACATTGAAGTCAGAAAGACCTGCCATTGTTTCCCTGAAGCTGTTGTCTTATATTCCTTTTCATAACCACTCCTAGAAAAAGTTGTATATACTCATTGCCTTCACTTTCTTCCCTCTATTTACTTTTCAGCCGCTTACTATCTGACTTCTAATATTATCATTTGACTGAAAATGCTTGCTCCTAGTTTACCAATGGTCTCTTAATTGCTTAATCCAATGGCATTTTCTCAGTCCTCATCCTTCTTGATCTTTCTGTAGCGCTTGACAATATTGACTAATCTGTCCTAGGAGATATAATGACTTCCCTGAGCTTTCAGATATTGCTCTTTCCTGGGTCTTCAATCATCTGACCCTTCTTAGTCTCCTTTTTTTTTTTAAATTTTTTTAAAATTTTATTTTTAGGCAATTGGGGTTGTAACTTGCCCAGGGTCATACAGCTAAACATTTTATTATTTTTTTTTTTTGTGAGGCAATTGGGGTTAAGTGACTTGCCCAGAGTCACATAGCTAGTGAGCGTTATGTGTCTGAGGTCACGTTTGAACTCAGATCTCCCTGACTCCAGGGTGGGTGATCTATCTACCGCACCACCTAACCGCCCCACCCTTCTTAGTCTCCTTTGCTAGGTTATTATCATATGTTGTCCCCTTTGCATTTTTTTATATGCATATATTAATTGAAAAGAAAAGGAAAACTCTGGCTTTTAAAAGTCTATATGAGCTGGCTCTAGCCTACCTTTCAAGGCTTAATGAATCTTACTGTCCTTCATATGTTTTGCATTCCAGCCACATTGGTTTGCTTTCTGTTCTCTGTACACAACATTCCATTTTCAGTCTCTCTGACCTATGTCTAGGCTTTCCCTTGCCTGGGATGTATCCTCCTCAGCACTGCCTTTTACAGTTCCTAGTTTCCTTCAAAATTGATCTCAAGTACCACAGCCAATAGGAAACCTGTTCCGGTCACCCCAGTTGTTTGTGCCCTCCCCCTTTCAAAAGTTATACTGTTATCTACTTTGTGTGTATTTTATATTTAATTTTATGTGTATAAGATGTCCCTCCCCCTCCCCAACAGAATATAAACTCCATGTGGGCAAGAGACTCTTTGTTTTTTTATCTTAATATCCCCATCTTATAGTACAATATTAGTACATAGTGGATGCTTAACAAAAGCAGTGAAAGAATAAATGTGTAAATTACTGCCTGCTCTTTCCAAATGTGAACAATGTGGTTGCTGAAAAGGTCAGGAAAAAAAATTTGTGTAAGGAAGACTGATAAAGATCATCCTGTGAAGAAACACAGGCTCTCAGTTAAAATGTTGAACACAGATTAGTCTGAGGACCAGACAGAGTAGGGAGAATAAATGTAGGGAGAGGACCTATATGAAAACAGCAGTGACTGAGGTAGTGACAGCTGTAACATTATAGGTCCATCAGCCCATTTGCTTGTGACTGTTTTTAGAGTTTTGAAGTTTATAATTGACAAAGCTGTAGGAAGGTTAGTATAGGTTCAGACCTGACAGAAAAGATGTATTTCTTGAGTTTTATCTTAGAAAGTGAAGATGAGACACTAACCAGGAGAAGATTCCTATTTGAGGAGTTGTTAAGAAGGTATCAGGAAGGGAAGCTGTAAGAAGAGATAGAAAAGAGGAGGAGGAGGAAAGTAAGAAAATAAACTTAGCACAGGAGGAATCACAAAGACCTAGCTACAGAAGAGATGGAAGGGCTCCCCGCTGGGACAAATGAGCCTTCATCTGCTATGCTGGGGACTTGCTGATTGGAAGAGAGGCATGGTTTTACTGATAGACGGGAGTAGCTTCTGGAAGTTCATAGGGGGAGAGCTGAATCCGGCTGCTGTGTCCAAAGTTTGTTTGCTTTCTGGTGTCATTTAAAGCCTGAAAGAGAGGAAACCTCTTACTGCCATCTACTGTACTGTCTATTTGAAAAAGAAAAGCAAAAGGGAACGTCAGGCTTTGCATTTGTCTTGCAGGCTTTGGAGCTGATTTGACAAAGCAGAATCTCCTATGATTTATGGATATAAGGAGCTTGGCCATTATCTGATTTAAGGTTACTGCTTGTCAGTACAGTAATATAATACTTTTTCAGCAACCATGTGTGGCTGCAAGGTAAAAGAGCATATCAGTGCTTCATTAGGAGTAGAGCAGAAGAAAAGTAACTTTTTTTCCAGGAGAATAATTGTAAGGAGCAGGAAGGAAGCAGCTAAAAGAAAAGTGGCTTTGTGCAATGTGAATTGTTCCTCAGAGGAATAAGGACGTTAGTGCCTATTGTGCAGCATTGTGAGCTGCTCTGGGCATGTGGGTTTCCTCATTTATCTGCCCTTTCTCTCTTTTCTTTCTGCTAGTTTCCTAAATATATGTTCACTCACCCCAAAAGACGCTATGGGCATTGGTGGGAGAGTATGACCTGGTTTTATTTATGGACTATGATGCTTTAATTATTTTTACTTTTTGCCTTCTAGTGAGCAAATATTATGATTATGCTTGCTTCTTCTGCCTTATAGCTTAGTAACTGTTTAAGTGTAAGAATTAATTGTGGCATAGTAATCAATTTTGTGGAAATGGGAAGCACACCAGTGGAGACTCAGAAAAAATAATAGCAGTCTATCTCCCTACTCCATTGTTATCCTGAGGATCTTAAAGAGGAGTAGACTTGTGATATACCTGTCTCTGGAAACCCCTGACCTGCCATCATGTGTGCAAGAACAAGCCAGCCCTGAAGAGGATCCAGTGCCATGCCTGGGCTATAAATGATTGATGTTAGAAAGTTCCCTGGGGGCATTTAGAGGTTAATTGACTTGGCCACATGTCAAGGGAAGACCTTGAACACAGGTCTTTCTGACTTCAATGTCCTCACTCTGTGATGCCATGCTACCTCTCTCGGGGTCAGATTAACACCCCCTTCCCCCTAGTGCTATTTTGTACACATCATTCTCCTACTCAAAGATCTTCAGTGGTTTCCCTTTGTTTATGGAATAAATTCATTGAACCATAAAGCATTATGGCCAGAAGGGACCTTAGAGGCTATTTTGTTCAACACTTTCATTGTATAATTGAGGAAGCACCAGAGAAGATAAGGGACTTGCCCAGAAGTCACACAGCAAGTCATCATCATGTTTAGGATTAGAATTCAGAACCCTGACTCCTAGTGCTCTTTTCAATATGCTGTACTGTATCCCCTTAGCTTGACATTCAAATCCCTCCAGGGTCTGGAGGATCCCTCTTTAGCCCTCTTTTGTCATCTCTTAGTAGTATCCTATATAAACCTTCTGGGACAGTCAGACGTTCCATATGAACCCTGAAAATACCATTTTGGTCTCCTTAACTTTACTGATGCCATTTCCTTGCCTAGAATGTGCTCATTCCTCTCTGCTTGTTTAATTTTGTATTTATTTATTTATTTTTGGCTAGGCAATGGGGTTAAGTGACTTGCCCAGGGTCACACAACTAGTAAGTGTCAACTGTCTGAGGTAAAATTTGAATTCAGGTCCTCCTGACTCCAAGGCTGGCGCTCTATCCACTGCCACCACCTAGCTGCCCCTGCTTGTTTAATTGTAACCTTTCCATCAAAGGCTGCCTTAAATTTATCCTCCACTATGAAGCCTTCCTGGACTGCCCACTCCCAGTCACCACTCCCTCCTCTCAATTCCTATAGTTCCTATTGTTTGTGCTGCTCATATGGTGCTGGGCATATGCTACCTTGTATCATTGTTTGTCTTCTTTATGTCTATGCCCCTTTTATTTAAGTAGATTGTAAGACACTTAAGGATAGGTGCTGTGCTATGGCTTAGATTTGTGGACTTTCTCAGCACCCTATCATAATGCCTTTTATGTAATCAGGCACCCAGACATTTATTGACTGTGCTGATGATGTGTGCCATGACTCATCCATGCCTGGAGGGAGTGTTGGCAAATGGGTACTATTTGTCGTGTTTTCTCTTTAATATAGCTTATCGACATGTGCATGCAGAACTGTGGCCCAAGTTTCCAGGTGCTGATTGTGAAGAGAGACTTCACTAAAGATCATCTAGTTAAGCTGCTGAGTCCCAGATACAACTTGCCTTTAGACATACAGAATAAGATCTTGAGCTTCATCATGGTAAGTCTGTCCTGTATCTCTGGGGATGGTAACTCGTGAGTTGTTTACAAACCTCCAAAGAATTGGAAACTCCTTATACAGCCTCAGGTTGGTTTAGTGATCTTTTTGCAAAGCTGAGGTTTGAGTTAAAACCTTGTTAAAACTTCTGTTTCTTATGTTAAAAAAAACAAAAACAAAAACACAAAGCAGTACATATATATATATATAGTCAACAATTACCCAGAAATGGCATGGTAACTTCCTCAAGAGCTCAAATAGTTTCCTCTTCAGTTTTATCTTATTTCACATAACGTCCAGATGAGGTTAGGAGAGCTTGTATGTCTGTACCCTTTTTTTTTTTTAAATGGGGAAGCTGAGATCCAGGGGGTTTAAGTGATTTCTTCAAGGTCACTAGCTCCAAGTTCATGATTTTATTTTCTCCTCCATGTTGACTCTTTTTTTGCCAAATTAATCTCCTGCAAATACCAGTGTGAGCACTTGTTCTATTGATAAATCTTTAGCGGTTCCCTTTTGCTCAGCACGGGAGTGGCAAAAATAAGACTACAATAAAATCAACAATAATAATAGCTAATGTTTAACTAGCACATGCTTTAAGATTAACATTAGCTTCTTTGACCTTAGCATGGTAGGTCTGATATGTGTGATCCCATTTTTACAGAGGAGGAAACTGAGGCAAAGAGAGGTCTCACTCCAAATCTACTGCCTTTTCTAATTATCTTACCTCTCTTGACTCTTACTGATCAATAGTATATATTCTTCAGGCCATCTTATGCCAGGTTGTTTAGGATTGAGAACATATGTTACCATCTAACATGTATTAGAACAATATTTGGGCCATCTTAAATGTATGTACAACATGTATACATTGTGTACCTTTTGCATAGTAAGTCCAAAGTAAGTGTTGGAGTGGAATTGGAGAGATCTCAAATAGCTTGTTTTCTGACTAGGCTTCATGTTTCTATATTGCTTGACACATCTTCTTTCATTAAAGATTTTTCTTAAATTTTTGTGATTCTCCTCTTTTACACAGACTTGGTCACGGGGTTTCCCTGGGGGTGTGGATGTGAGTGAAGTCAAGGAAATATACCTAGAGCTGCTCAAGAAAGGAGTCCAGTTTCCCTCTTCAGAGACAGAGATTGGAACAGAGAAACAAGTGGTAGGTAGCCTCATTACAGTCTGCCAGCCACCTTCACCACTTTGTATTAAGAGCTAATACTAAAAGAGGGCCCTCCTTACGATAATCAGAAAGGTTGGGTAGAAGCCAATGTGGTTTAGTCTGTGTCTGTTCCATGTAAAAATGTTCTCAAATTTAAATTCTGATCTGTGATTGGAGAAATATGGGCAAAGAATTCTTGTTGTATAGGAATTGTGGAAGATAAGAGTTGCTATTTGATGTAGGCACTACCTCAGCATTCTCAGTGCTTAGAAGCATGGGGTTAAACTTTAGCTAAGGGTGAAAAGTAGAAGTAGAGAAAGCTAAGAGAACTATTCACAGACATTGGAGCCAGAAACAGAAACCACTCTAACTTAGTAAGAAAAAAAAACTGAATCATAGAATATTTTAAAGGAAATGCTATTTAATTAGTTTTAGCCAGTTGTTAAGAAATACTAGAAGTGAGAATGACCTCAGACATCATCTGATTCAGCCCTTTCATTTTCTCAGTGCAGGAATAGAGGATCACTGAGGGGAAATGTTTGGCCCAACATGACAAACAGCAAAAATTTCATCAGAGAAATAGAGAACATAAAATTCATTTAGTATGTGAATGTATTGTTGGATCCATACACATTAAAGAAATCCTTAATTTTGAATTAATAATAGCTACCCTTTTTTTAGTATTTTAAGGTTTGCAATATGTGTTACATCACTTGATCCTCTGGGAGGTAAGGAACTACTGCTATTCTGCACTTTACAAATGAAAACACTGAGGCTGAGAGAGGTTAAGTGACTAGGCCACGGTCAAATGGATCACAATGAATGTCTGAAACAGAATAACTTGGGTCTTCCTGACTCTAAGTCTGGTCTCTAAATCCATTGTACCACCTAGTTCCTGTTAATGAGTGTTAATTAGTGAGGTGTTTTCATTTGTTTTTCTAAATAATAGTAATAGCAACTAGCATTTTATATTACTTACTGTGTGCAAGGTTAAAACAGAGAGACAAGAGGTAGGTAGCCTCACCACCAGCTATCAGTCCACCTTTGCCACTTTGTGGTAAGAGCTTATATTGATTAGAACAGGAAGATCCTTCTTTTTAAGATGTTCACAAATGTTGAGTTAGAAGTCAACGCAGCACTATGTGCTAAGTAGGTACTTTACAGTTATTTGATTTGATCCACACAAAGCAATCTTGTGAGATAAGTGCTATTATTATTCCCATTTTACAGATGAGGAAATTGAAGCAAAGAGAGGTTAAGTGACTTGCCCAATATCATACACTTAGTTCATGTCTGAGGCCAGATTTGAACTCAGGTCTTCCTAACTCTAGGCTCAGTGCTCCATCTACTGTGCTATCGGGCTGCCCTGCTATATGATTGAAAGGATGCTTTATTCACTAGAATGACTAGTCCTAGGTGACTAGAGCACACAGAATCATTCAGGCCTGCTTGTCTTCTATATCTAAAAGCTGAAATAACTAGGTTATGTCATTTTGTTTGGATGTGATATGTATATGAGCATATAAAAAAGATACTCTTTTTTTGCTGAATTTAATTTTAATAACTAGCATTTATATAACAATTTGAGGTTTACATAGCTCTGTAAAAATAAATAATAATAAATAATATTTGTATAGTGCTTTAAGGTTTGCTACACACATTACTTATCTCATTTGACCCTTGTGACAACTCTTCGAGGTATATGCTATGCTACTGTTATCCCCATTTTATGGATGAGGAAACTGAGGGACAGAGAAGTTAAGGGACTTGTCTAGGATCACCCATTACAGCACTATAGCAGGGGTGGGGAACCTGTGGCCTGGAGGCCACATGTGGCCCTCTGGGTCCTCAAGTGTGGCCTTTTGACAGGATCCAAACTTCACAGAACAAATCCCCTTAATAAAAGGATTTGTTTTGTAAAACTTGGACTCAGTCAAAAAGCCACACCCAAGGACCTAGAAGATCACATGTGGCCTCGAGGTCGCAGGTTCCCCACCCCTGCACTATACCAAGCTGCCAGGGCAATTACATCTTACCTTCTGGGAGTCTCATTGCTTAAAGCTGTGCTGTAACTTAAGAAAGGGAGGTCAGGCAGGAAAGAGGAGGTGATACTATTGTTTAAAAAATAAAAAAGAAGCAGCTAGGTGGCACAGTGGATAGAGCCCTGGCCTTAGAGTCAGGAGGACCTGAGTTCAAATCTGGCCTCAGACACATAACACTTACTGTGTGACCCTGGGCAAGTTACTTAACCCCGATTGCCTCACCAAAAAAAAAAAAAAAAGAAAGAAAAAAGAAAGAAAAGAAAACAAATGTCAATTGAAAAATGAAAAAGACCTGAGGTTTTGGTTTTTGGGCCATAGTATTAAGCTATCACAGACACGGACACAGACATGGATGAGGGGTGTATGTGCTCCTCTCCCCTCATACACAGACAGCCCTCAGACGGCCTCTTTGTGCAGGCTGTCAAAGTTATCCTTGATATTCCTTTTACCTGAACTGTTCCTAGAGAAAAATGGAGATGAGAGGATGGGGAATGGTGGGGGGTGGGGGGGGGATGTTGGGAAAAAGATCAGATGATGACTTCCCCTGGGGCAAGTCCTCTAAGAGTGGCACGAGTGAGGAAGTTGAAGGGTTGTTGCTAGAGTTGGGTGGGAAAGCTGGGATAGGTTGGCTTGGCTTACTCCAAATAAGCAACATCTGTTGTTTGTATTTTAATAGGCCTTGTCTCCGAGTGTAACTAAGCCACCCCCATTTGTTCCATCTACATCAGTACATTCGTCTGCCGCTGCCTGCAAGGCCCCAACCATTCTACTGGTTGCTGAACAGGTAAAATCAGTTTTTATATATACATATATATGTGTATATGTGTGTGGATGTGCATTCTTTTTTTTTTTAAATTTAATTTTAATTTTTTAATTAGGGCATAGGTATATAGGGAGAGATTGAACCTGTGATTTCACTGGTATGGGGCATTGCCTAGCGAGGAAACTATTGCAGGTCAGCACCTTCTCTGCAATTTATAGTCTGAGAGAAATGCCTAGATAACTGAAAGGTTAAGGAGCTCGCCCAAGACCACACATCTAGCCTGTGTGAAAGGTGAGACTAGAATTCAAGTCTTCCTGGCTTCAAGGGCAGTTTCCTATGCCATGCTGCCTCTCATTAAAAAAAAAAGTTTTAAATTAATTTAACATTTTAAAAAATTGATGCATTTTGCTTTGATATCATTTTTTAATTCAATATTTGTTCAATGCCTACTATGTGCCAGGCACTGTGCATTTTCTGCATGTGACTCCTTCATACCCTCCAACACTGACTCTCTTCCCCACCCCCTCCACACACACCTCCAAGAGAACCTTCCATAGTAACAAATTGTTAAGTCACAGCCCAGTGACCACAGTTTGTAGTGCATGAAACATTCTTCATCCTTCATTCCCCACCTTTCAATAAAAGAAGGCCAAGGTATTTCCTCATCCCATCTCAGAGACCAAGCTCAGTGTTTTAATTATAAAGCATTTGGCTTCATTTGCTTGTTCTTTGCATTTGTATTACTGTAGAAGTCATACTGTTCTAGAATGTGGGTCAAGGGGTGGATATTGAGTCATCTGGACCATCCCTAGCCTTCAAACCATTTTAGAGCATTCTCTTCCTTTCCTTAAAAAAATATAAATTGCCAAGAAAAGAAAGCCAAAAACTTTTTATCTTTCATTTGTTGTTCAGTCATTTTCAGTAGTGCCTGATCCTTCATGACCCCATCTGGGGTTTTCTTGTGGAAAATATTACTGTAGTGGTTTGCCATTTCCTTCTCCAGCTCATTTTACAGATGAGGAAACTGAGGCAAACAGGGTAAAGTGACTTGCCCAGGGTTACACAGGTAGGAAGTGTCTGAGGCCAGATTTGAATTCAGGAAAATGAATCTTCCTGACTCCAGGCCTGGCACTTTACCCACTGACCCACCTAGTCACCTTTTATTTTTTATGATGACTGGCCTCTAACGATCTGGAAAAGAAATGAATTCCTTGGAGAAAAAGCCTGTTTCCCCCCACTAGAAAGACCAATAGATTTTTATGAGTAGAGGGAGACAAAGGGAGAGATAGCAAGTCAGCGTTTGAAAAGATTCCCTTTATTTCAGTGAATTGTCATCATTAAATATTGCAGGTCCTGGAGCACCAAGTCTATGAATAGCAAGAGAACCTGGGCTAACCACAGACTGTGACTGGAATAACTTTCTGACTTGTTCTGGGGCCGCATTCCTTCTGGGCTCCTGGTAGGGAAATGGGAAAGCTATACACAAGTCTTGAATGCTGCTTGCTTAATTAACCCAATTAATTATTAACTAGCATTAAGCTAAGGAAAATAGCTGCCTTTTCTGTTGTGAAACTTGGCTTTTAGAAATTTCGCCTTTTCTTTTCTTTATGAATAGCCTTCTTCCTCTGACATCTCCTGCAGTTGTCCATGTAATAGTTCAGTATGTCCTAAGCCTCCCCCTCGCCCCAGGTCAAATCCTTCCTCCTCCCTTCTTTTCTAAATGCATTATGTTAGACTGGAAAGAAGGCAACAACTATAACAATTGTTTCTAGAATTGTCATCCTGAAGGCTAACTTTTACATTTTCTAAAACTGAAATTTCAGACCTATAGTTAGATGAGCCTCTCTTGTATTTTCATGGAATGTTAGAGCTATAGAGGACCTTAGAGAATATTTCTTTTTTTTTGGTGAGGCAATTGGGGTTACGTGACTTGCCCAGAGTTACACAGCTAGTAAGTGTCAAGTGTCTGAGCCCAGATTTGAACTCAGGTCCTTCTGACTCCAAGGCCGGAGCTCTGTCTACTGTATCACCTAGCTGCCCCTGAGAATATTTCTGACTGGTATATTATTTCAGGTGAATCTCAGTTTTTTCTACATTTCTAGAAATTACCTACTGGGGACCATTATTATGCCATAGATCCAGACCAAGAATGGATCTTGGAGCTCATCTATCTAATTCAGGGGTTCTTAATCTTTTTGGTGTCATGGGCCCCTTTGGCAGTCTGTTGAAGCCTGTGAACCCATTCTCAGAATAATGTTTTTAAATGCATAAAACAAAATACATAGATTGCAAAGGAAACCAATTATGTTGAAATACAATTATAAAAATATTACCAAAAGAAGTAAATTCGCAGACCCCAGGTTAAGAACCTTTTAGGGGATTCTAGACCAACACCTTCCACCCAGAGTCCCTCCCAATTTCACAGAGGAGAAAAGTATAGCTCAGAGAGCTTAACTGACTTGATTGCTCAAAATGGTATCAATTGGGATTTGAACCCAACTCCTCTGACTATAAGTCCAGTGATCTTTCTATTTCCATACAAGCTGTGTGCTGAATGAGTGGCTGAATGAGTGAAAAAGTCAGCAAGGATTTATTAAACACTTACTGTGTCAGTCATTGTGCTAATCTCTGAGGATTCAAAGAATGGCAAATTCAGTCCCTACCCTCAAAAAGTTCACAATCTAAAAGAAAAGATCACATGTAAACTGTATATAAACCAGCTACATACAGGATAACTTGGAGGCAACTTCAGAGGAAAATCATTAGGATTAGGGAGGGATTGGGGAAGGCTTCTTGGCACAAGGTGGGATTCTAGCTGAGACTTGAAGGAAGCCAGGAAGTAGAGATAAACAAGGGAGAGCATTCCAGACATGAGGGACAACAATAAAAAGACACAGGTTTGGGAGACAGAGGGTCTTGTTCTAGGAACAGCAAAAGTGTCACTGCGTTGGCATAGTATGTGAATGGGAATAAAGTATATAATAAAGATTAGAAAGATAAGAAAGGGGCAGATTATAAAAGACTTAACCAAGCAGAGAATTTTATATGTGATCCTGGAGGTAATAAGAAGCTGCCGTAGTTTATAAAATTGTATTAGACCTATGCTTTAGTAAAATAGATTTGACAGATGAGTGAAGAATGGACAGGAGTGGGGAGAGATTTGAACCAGAGAGATCAACCAGCAAATTATTGCAATAATCCAGATACAAGGTAATGAAAGACTGCCCTACTAGGGTGGTGGCAATGTTAGGAGAGAAGGGGTTATATATGAGAGGTGTTGCAAATATACAATGAATAGGATGACTTGGTAACCCATTGATTATTGGAGGTAGGAAAGTGAGAATGATGCACCTCAGTTGCCAGCATTCCTTTGATAGTAATATTCAAGTTAGGAAGAGAGGAAAGACAATAAATTCACTTTTAGATATTTTGACATTTCAACATTAGACATTCTGATTTTAAGATGTCTATGGGACATAGAGTTAAAGATTTCCAAGAAGTAGTTGGAGATGTAAGAATAGATGTTAAGAGGAAAATTAGAGGAAAATGAATAGATTTGAGAATCATCTAGATAGAGATGATAATTGAATCCACAGGAGCGGATGACATCACCAAGTGAAAAAGCGTAGAAGAGAAAGAGAAGAAGGTCCAGATAGAGTCATGGGGGATACCTATTGCTAGCAGGAGAGATCAGGATGAATATCTGGGAAAGTAGATTGAAAAGGAGTGGTCAGACAAATAGGAGAACTAGGAGAGAGCAGGATCATGAAAACCTAGAGAGAAGAGAGTATCCAGGCAGAGAGGATTATTGACAATGTCAGAGGCTGCAGAAAGGTCAAGAAGGATGAGGATCAAGAAAAGGCCATTAGATTTGGCAATTAAGACATCACTGGTAACTTTAGTGAAAGTTAGGTATGGTTGAGATTGGAAGCCAGATTGCAGAAAATTAAGAGAGTGAGAGGAAGGAAAGCAAAGGCACCTGTTGTAGATAGCTTTCTTAAGGAGTTTAGCTCTAACAGGAAAAGTGAGATGTGAGGATAGCTAACAGGGATGGAGGGATCAAGTGAGGGGTTTTTGAGGATGGGAGAGTCATGGGTGTATTTGTAGGTGGTAGGGAACCAGCCAGTAGAACAAGGAGAGATAGATTAGTGAGAGATTGGGGATGAGTGCTGGGAAAGATAAATGGAATGGGATGACTTGTGCATGCAGAGGGGTTTGCCTTGGCAAGGAAGGAGGCCAGCTTAGCATGTGAGACAAGAATAAAGGAGAAGATAATAGGGGAATGCATCAGAGTGATGTGAGATGAGGAGCAGGGGAGAAGAAGGAGCTCACAGGTGAATGGAGTCTTTTTTTTTTTCCAGTGAAATTTGAGGCTTGACTCTCAGTTGAGAGGGTAAGGGAAGGGGACTTATGGAAGGTCTGAGGAGGGTTGAAGAGGTTTGGAAAAACTGCAGTGGCTTAGTAGGATAGCGAATCAGGAAAATTAAAAAAGATTGCCTTGCCGCATTGAGGGCCCAGTTGAGATTATGTAACAAATTTATGTGGATCCAGTTAGCGTGGTTTTGTGATTTTCTCCAATTCAGTTAAGCCTCATGAGAATAGGAGTGATGGCAGTATGTGGTGGGCATAATCCAAGATGGTGCTCATTAGGTCAAGATTGCAATATGATAAGGGAATGGAAGAGAGAACTAGAGCAGAGTTGAACTGGTTCATCAAGGGTTCAGGATGGGGAAGGCGTGAAAGTATAGCCTGTGAGGGGTGATAGTCTGGGAAAGAACTGAAGGGATAGAAGGATTAGAGATCACCATGAAGAAGAACTGAGTTAGAAGTAGTAAGGCAGACAAAAGAATTTTGGAGTTTATGAACATGGAAGTGTAACACTTATGGCTTATGGTAAGATTAAGGGTAATACAATCTCTGTGTCTAGATGAGGTGGAGTAGAGCACTTATGGAAAGTAAATAAATTGAGGAACTGGGAGCTTATGTTGTTTGAAGGCTGGAGTTGAGAAGGAGAAAAAGATGGTAAGCCAGGGACTGAATCCAGGTCCTAGATGTCAGTAGATTCCAACTACCAGAATCTTGATTGGGTGGCAAAATAGACTGAATGAACTTCAAAAGGAGGAGAGGTTACTAAATGATAGTGGCCAAGAGAGTGTCTTGCAGTGGCTCTGGGTAGCAAGAGAAATAGCATTTATTAAGCACTTGCCACTTTCCAGGGACTGTGCTAGGCGTAGGAATGGCCAAAATAAGTCATCAAAATAGTCCTTGTCCACCCTTGTGGATAGCTTACATTATAATAAGGGAAGATAAATAAATGTAGCTAAAGTTGGAAGGGGTGGGGGGATGAATGAGGAGAGTATATGCACAGCAACATGATATAGTTATGAGTAGAAAATGGAGTAGTGGGCAGAAAACCAGAGAAAGATGATGAGGTGAAAGCTCACATATGAGTGTCATAGGGATAGGAGGTTAGGATCTGGGTTATGCCAGAAGAGAAGACTGGATGTGGCATGAATATGGCCAAAAATTAGATATGTATATATTTTGTACATATGTGTATGTATATGCATGTGTGTTTGTGTATATATGTACATACAATGGTGTCCCAAAAGTCTTGGTGCAGTTTTAAGATTTAAAATCCTAAATGTGACTCTCTGGTCATCTGTTTTGCTTTTTAAATTTTATTGATCTTTTGTTTTCAACTTTATTTCTAAATATATTTATTTCCTCTCCCCTTCCCCAGCAAACTGTCCTTTGTAGCAAAGAATAGAAAAGGAATTAGAGGGGAAAAAACAGTTCTGAATTTTACAGTATAGGCAACATTCCATACCCATACTCTCTAAAGAAGGGAGCTGCATTTTCTCTCATTTTCTGGGGCCAGCTTGCCTTTTATAATCACCTAGAATTCAGATTTTGGTTTTTATTCATTTCATTTACATTGTCACGGTCATTGTGTTTATTGTTTTCCTGGTACTTCACTTTGCATCAATTCATCTAAGTCTATTTGAATTTGTACCAAAGCAGTTCATATGAGAGCACATACCTCTGTTCTCTACACATTATCCTCACTAACTTTATTTCTCTCAACAGATTGGAAAATTGCACAGTGAAGTGGATATGGTGAAAATGAACGTGAAAGTAATGTCAGCTATACTGATGGAGAATACTCCTGGATCTGAAAATCAGGAAGATATGCAACTCTTAGAGGTATAATGTGGTGTTGGGGGTAATTTTCTATTGAATTTGGGTTCTAAAATTCTTCCCTAAAGTCGGAATCTTGGAAATGGGAGCAACGGGCATCTCATATGGTGCTTTCTCTTCATTTCAATCATAGCCAGGAGGAGAGAATGGGTCAATAGTGTTCAAGGCTTCAGAGCAGTCCAAAATGAAGAGGATTGAGAAAAGGTCATAAGATTTGTTAAAGAAGAGCTCATCAGTTCCATAGCTGTTTGAATGGTGAGGTCTGAAGCCAGATTGCAAAGGGTTGAACAAGTAAGTGCAATGAGAGTAGGCAGCTTTTTTCTAGGAGTCTGAGAAAAGGAATATTAGCTGTAAGATGATAGTTGTGGGGGAGAGGAGGGACTGATGGCATCAAGTGAAGTTTTATCTAAGGATAGGAGAGACCTGAGCATTCTTGTAATTGGCAGGGAAGGAATCAGTAGATAGAAATTGAAGATTGCAGGGAGGGGCAGTGATTTCTGAGGCAATTTGCTGGAAAAGATGTGATTAAGAGTACTTGTCTATAGAGGGATTGGACTTGGTGAAGAGAAGGGCCATTTCTTCATTAGATACTGAATTAAAGGCAGGGAAAATTGGAGATAATGTCAAGGGATTTAGATAAGTAGTTGTTCAATTGTTTTAGTTGTGTCTGATGACCCCTTTTGGGATTTTCTTGGCAATTTGTTTGCCATTTCCTTCTCTTTCATTTTCAGATGAGGAAACTGAGGCAAACAGGGTTAAGTGACTTGCCCAGGGCCACACAGCTAGTAAGTGTCTGAGGCTGAATTGGAACTCAAGTTTTTCTGACTCCAGGCCCAGCACTCTAACCACTGCACCACCTAGCTGCCCCAAATTTTGATTAAGTAAAGAAGGTGAAATAGGGAATTCATGATGAATGAACTCTATTTTCTCAGTAGAGTCAGAGGCAGTATCTTCAGAGAAGAGGTAGTGGAAAGAGGTGTTACAGGAGGCTTGAGATAAGATATTTGAAACAATTGCTATAGGGTGGGCAATAGAGAATCAGAGTGGAATAAAAGCATTCCTTTGCTGCATTGAGGGCTCAAGTGAGATTAGATAACAAATTCATGGCAGACCCAGTCAGCATATTGTGTGTGTGTATGTGTGTGTGTGTGTTTTTCTCCATTTCTTTTCAGCAGCACATGAACAGGAGCAAAGGAGGCTGATGGTGGAAGTAATCTGTGGTTGAGATTTGGTAAAATTTGTGTGGAGACTACACAAGGAGCAAGGAACTCAAGTAGAAGTTGTTCAGTCATTTTTCAGTCGTATCCAACTCTTCATGATCCTATTTGGGGTTTTCTTGACAAAGTTACTGGAGTGATTTGCCATTTCCTTTTCCAGATCATTTTACAGATGAGGAAACTGAGGCAAGCAGGGTTAAGTGACTTGCCCAGGGTCACACAGCTAATAAGTGTCTGAGGCCAGAATTGAACTCAGGAAGATGAGTCTCTCAGACTCTAGGGTGGGTACTCATCTACTTGCTACCTAGCTGTCCCTCAAGTAGAGAACAACATTGTATACTATAGTGCTAAAATGTCAAAATAGTGAAAGGAAGAAAGTGAGGCCAGAGTGGGAGTGACAGGCTGGGAGATTACAGAGGAACAGAGAGATTTGAGGTCATGGTGCAGATGAAGAACAGGTTTAGAAAGAGTGAGGCATAGGGGGAGGTAGAATCGATAGGAGGTTATAATCAGTGAAAGGAATTTAAAAATCCCTGATCATGGAAGGAGAACATTTTTAGGTGATGCATGATCAAGGTTGTGGCCAATCCTTGTGTGTGGCTGAGATTGAGTGAAGGATTAGGTCAGGGATGGGGAACCACATGTGGCCATCTATATAATAATCCTTAATAAAAGGATTTATTCTGTAAAACTTGTACTCAATCAAAGGGCTGCACTTGAGGACCTAAAGAGCCACATGTGACCTCAAGGTCACAGGTTCCCCATCCCTGAACAGGGTCATATATGTTGAGATCCTCTGGTATAAGGCAGGGGTTGAGATGAAGAGGAATAATGTGAGCCAGGTATTGAACTTGAGAAAGGCTGTAGAATGACTCAGGGGCTGGTAGATAAATTCTACCAGGGTCTAGATTAGGTGATATATTTAGATTGAATGAACTTCAAGTGAATAGAGAGCCATTGCAAGGATCAAATGAAATAAAATGCTTTGCAAACCTTGAGGTAATACATAAAAGGGATGTTGTTATTTGTAATTATCAGTGTTTTCATTACGGAGCGACAGTGTTGCATAAGTCTTGGAGCTGAGAAGTTCAACTCAAGTTAGTTCAAATCCTGTTTCTTACTCATGCTAGCTGTATAACCATGAGCAAGTCACAAGAAACTCAGTGCTCTATGCCACTGGTGTCAAACTATTATAGAAACAGATCCATGCTAGAGACTTGGAAAACCACAAATTAACATTATCTTTGTTGCATTGTATTTTTATTTTGTTAAATACTTCCCAATTACATTTTAATCTGGTTCAGGCCCAGAGTTTGAAAACTTTGCTCTAGGAAACTTTCTAAATTCATAAATTGCAAAGAAGGTGGCTACCTGTATTGAAGAAGAGATTTTCCTTATCCAGGAGCTCACTTCCCCAGTTGAGATACAGGTCCAGTCCCTATCCCTGCTATTAATTATCACTATTAATATTGTTCTGATAATCCTTTTCTGAAAGTGCTCCAGCCTGTCAGATATAGTCAGAAGAAAGTATAAATTATAAATAATAAAGTATAAAGTATTAGAAACATGCCCAATTCCGGGCTATAGCTGAAGAGGCTTGTGAAATGATGTCTCCTTCCTTTTACCTCCAATACCATTTTTTTCCCTATACCACTCATGGTACAGTATAGTTTAGTGCACAAAATGCTTGGGTTGGTGTCAAGAAGACCTAGGTTGAAATCTTACCTTATACACTTAGTGTCTGTGTGACCATAGGCAAGTTACTCATTCCTTTTTGATCTTCAGGAAACTCATTTAGACTCATCTAGTAAAATATTGACAGGTTGTGACTGTGCTTTGTTGGAGGGAGTTCCCATACTACAAGGAAATCACAGATCATTGAGATATTAATAATTTATTGCCTAATGTTATTAAGTTACCTTTTCATGAATCTAACTTTGGAGTCTGAGTTGTGGTTTCAAATCTTGACGCTGCTACTTAGGTATTTAACCTTCCCTTCTTTTGGCCTGTTTCCTTCTATGTAAAATGAGAAGATTGAACTAGATACTTTAAAGTATCTTCCAACCCCTGAAGCTATGATCTTGTGATCTCAGCTCTCAAAATAGATTGTTGGCTTCTTAAGAGCAGCAACTGAGTGTTATATTTTTTTATATTCATCACATGGCCTAGCTCCTTGCGTATAGTAGGTACTCAGTAGGTTCTTGTTGTATAAAGAATGAAGAAAGAGAACAGGGGGTTGGAACATATTGAGGATAAAAAGATTTTGAAACTAAGGCATCAAGATTATTCAAAAGAGGATTGATAGGGGAACGGAAGTGCAAAAAGTGTTAATACGATGACTTAGCTGCCGAGGTTTGAGCAAGAAGAAATGGAACAACTTAAAAAGGAGGTGGTTGGCTGCTACCTTCTCATTGTGGAGGTTGTCAAAGTTATATACAGGTCATAATAATAATAGTTTACATTTTTGCAGTGATTTATGATTTATAAAGGGCTTTCCTCACCATCCTGTGAGGTAGGTCAGAGTAAGAATTATCATCTCCATTTTTCAGATGAGGAAACTGAGATGCTGAATATTTAGGTGACTTATCCACAGGCACATAGCTAGGAGCCAGGATTCGAAACCTAATCTTTTTACTCCAAGTCTAGTATTCTTGGCAGGATGAATTAACTCTTACAACAAGGTACAAAAAGGTTGGTTAGAAATTCACTCCAGGTCTCTTCCAGCTCCTAGATTCTGTTCTTCCAAATTGTAATGGAATTTCAGTAGCAGTAGCAGCATTGAGAGAAGAGAGACATATATGCTTACCCAGGTTCTTTGTATGACCAGATTAATATGCAGTAAGATGTCAGACTGTCATTCTTTTCTTCAGTTTTTTCAACTTTTCTTCCAATTTAAACTTTTCTAGAGAGCCAGCCTGGCACCTTTTTTCTTATGCCTCTTAATTGTGCCCATGTGGTTGAATGTGAGAGAGTGATGATTAAAATTAGGCCTCTTTCCCAAGCTGTAGTGACCTTTGAAGAAGTGAGGGTCTTCTGATCATCAGAGTATAATCCTATTAATGAGCTACTTTTCTCTTTCTGTACGAACTTTTGAGCTGGTTGTTAAATTCACTGTAACCTAAAAAACTGTCTTTGTTTCAACACAGTACAAAGTGAGGGTCTTTCAGGGGCACACTGATTGACGTATGCACAAGCAGCTGTTAGCCTGGGTCTTTGAGAGCTTGGATCAATCTCGCTTCATTCCCCTTGAAACTACCAAGACTGATAGAGTGCCAAGCTGTGGGAAACTTTTGACCTACCTTTTTCGCCCACATTACTTGATCTAGTCTAGGTTCCTAGTGGCTTGGCCTTCCTTTGAGATAGATATCAATTGTGGAGATCAAAATGCGCTGGTTTTTGAAAGGGTTTTCAAAATTCTCATTCCCAGTCTTGCTGAGTATTATAGGAGACTTTTCATATTCTACATTTGGGTTGTCTTTTGGAGAGACGGGGAAATTGAGCAACATATGGCAGAAGTCATTGATATTGGTTCCAAATTAATCTCAAATTCATGTCTACTGTTTTGTCCTAGACTTTTTACTGTAACTGTATCTCCTTGATCTTGACACTACTGAGCGAGGCTGTCAGCGCACTAGTTAGGATTGATTGCTAGGGTTTTTTCTCTGAACAGGAACAAAGGGGAAAGTTCTTTTATGCTGAAGGATTTCTTTTGGATTTCTTCTCCAGCTTACCCTTGATGTAAAAAACTTGACTGCAGAGAATTAGAAATGGATTTAATGCTGAAACCTAGAAGTTTCACTGAACCAATAGGGAAGTCTCTGTAGGCAAAGAGGTCCTTGAATCATGAGACCCTAAATTTTTCCTAGAAGGTGATCATAGAGGTCATATAAGTCCTGTCTCTTCATTTTTTCAGATGAGGGGAGTGAGGTTCAGCAAAGTGAAGTGACTTCCCTAAGAGCACAGAAGTAGCAAGTGGCAGAATCGGGATTTGAACCCAGGTCCTCAGAATCTAGATCCAGCTTTTTTCCCACCACCCCTTTATATATACGGTTTTCCAAGGTTCTCTGAATTCTGTATCTCTCTCATTTCTTGCAATATAATAGAACATTAAATACACATATACTCAGTTTTTTAGCCATTTCCCAATTGGTTGGTTCTTGTTTTATTTATAACTCTGCAACTACAAAAAGTTTTGCTATACATATTTTTGCATATTTGGGACTTCTTTCCCTGCCTTTTACCTTCTTGGAGAACACGCTTAGTATTGGTATCCTGGATTAACAAATCCATATGTTTTAGCGACTTTGGAGGGATATAATTGTTTTCCATAAGGATTGGACCAATTCATAGCTCCACCATCAGTGCTTCAGTGTATCAGTCTTCTCCCAGATTCTGCAACATTTACCAATTTCATCTTTGCAAATCTGATAGATGACAGATGAAACCTTAGAGTTGTTGTAATTTATATTTCTCTTATTAATGATTTGGAGCATTCTTTCATTTGGTTATTGGTAGCATTCATTTCATATAACATTTGTTATAGATGTTGTCTGCAAATATTTTTCCAGTTAGTTGATCTCCAAATATTAGCTGCATTGATTTTGTTCATGCAAAAGTTTTTCAATTTTATTTAATTGAAATTCTGAAATTGTCCATTTTATTTTCTATGCTCATCCCTTCTCCTTTGTTTAGTTAAGAATTCTTACTCTGGCTATAGTTGCACAGTATACCTCTTTTCAATTCTAGATAGAAAAATAGATAGATAGACAGACAGACAGAAAGAAAGAAATAGATAGGCAGGCCTATTTATCTATGTCTTATCTATGTGTGTTCGTTTTCATCTTGACCTCTAGTGTTTCTAGCCATCCCTACTCTCTCACTTGATCACCCCTGCTCTGCCTACACTTCCTTCCTTTCTACTTAACACCCTTTAGTAAACCAATTCTATGTTGTCCTTGACTATCAAATTCCTTGCTTCCTCTGCCAGACCCTAATCCTAGATTCTGTCGTTCACTTCCTCTACTCACATGCTACCAAATGCATTGGAAAGAGGTAATATAACCAGCTGATCAGGTCCACTACATATCTATTAGCTAATCTCACTTGGTCCCTCACTTCAGCAAGGCAGTCTTTTCATTGCTTTCTGAGTCTCTGTTAATCTGTCCCAGCAGTGACTGTTCCAAACCTCTTTTCTCCTCAAAATTCATACAACTTCCTCTCCTACCACACTTTGATTTGAGGACCTCATTTCATGCTTTACTGAGAAAACAAGTCATCTGTTGTGAGCACCCAGCCTATCCCATCTCCATACACAGCTAACCTCTGCAATAATCTTCTTTCTAATGTCTAATCTCTCCCTATCTACTGGTTCCTTCCCTGCTTCCTACAAACACTATCAAGGTTCCACCATCTTTAAAAGAAATCCTCAGTAGACCCTGTCATCTACTCAAGTTATCATCCTATATCTCCCCTCTCTCAGCCAAACTCCTTGAAAAAATTGTCTACACTGATATCTTAAAAGTTTTTCCTCAAAATATATCTTATGCTGCTCCTTCATCTTTATCATAAACTTAGGACAATTGGAAAAGTCATTGAACTCATTTTTTAGTAGGTGAACAGGAGGTAGGATAAAGTTTCTTATAATTTAAGCCGTATATATTAAAATATTATTCCTCATTTTCTGATTCTTCCTCATTTTCTTCTTTCTTCCTTAGCATCTGTCTATTAGGATATATTGCTATGGTGAGCATCTAATGTTATATCTTAAATATGTCAATCAGAGAGAGAAAGAGATAAAGTTGAGCATTTAACCTAAAATTTTATAATTAAAACATAAAGTGAGAGAACCAGGTTCTAGAGAGAAGGCTAAATTATATTGCAGTATAGATTATGCAATAGATATAATTATTGTAGTATGTGTATTACATACATATTGATAAATGCCTACTTTAAGGGAAAAAAGCTGTTCACACTCATTGACTCTACTTTCTGTCTTCTCACTCCTAAACCATTTGCAATCTGTCTTTTAAACTCATCATTCAACAGAAACAATTCTCTCCAATGTTATCAGTGATCTCTTCAGTTAAAAAAAAATTCTGTTGGCCTCCCAGACTTCTCTGTAACAATCAACTAATAAGTGCTTATTAAGTCCTTATTATGTTCCAGGCACAATGCTAAGCACCAGAGATACAAAAGCAAAGAATGAAACCAACCCTGCTCACCAGAAGCTTATATTCTAATGGAGAAACAAGTCTACCTAGAAATACATAGGAATAAATAGGAACAAATAGATAGTAATTACTCAACACTGTTGACTACCATCTCCTCCTAGATCCCCTCTCCTCTCTTTGGTAAGCAGGAGTTTTTTTGGTCATGCTTTCCCTGGGATCCAATGGCTCTTAAGCGCAAATCTGACCATTGTTGTTTCTCTGCTCATGAAATTACAGTGACTTTTATTGTCTATGATAGAATTCAAGACTTCAAGACTCATCTCAGGATGCCTTTCATTATTGCCTTGGTGTTAGGACTCTCTCCCTTCCCAAAGTACCTTGCTTTTACTTATCTGTATTCATATTGTTTCCCTTCCTACAATATCAGCTCCCCGGGGACAGGGAATGTTTTTCGTTTTTGTCTTTGTGTCACCCGTTGCCTAGCACAATGCCTTGCATAGAGTTGGCACTTAAAACGTTGTTTCCTCAGTTCACATAAACTATATCTCGTTGTCCTTCATAAACTTATTATTTATAGGCCTGTGCTGACTTAGATTTTCTCTTTTTCTGGATAGAAATTGTATAAGACTGGTCGAGACATGCAGGAAAGAATCATGGACCTGTTGGCAGTGGTGGAGAATGAGGATGTGACAGTGGAGCTCATTCAAGTGAATGAGGATTTGAATCAGGCCCTTCTTGGATATGAGAGGTGTGTATAAGTGGGGCTGTCTTCCTCCATTTCACTTTGCTGTAGTCACTCAGCCCCACTGGACGAAGGGTTCTGTGCTGGGTCTTCCAAGAAAGAAAAGGGAGAAATGGATGCCTCTAGGAAGCTCCCAACTTAATGGAGAAAGGCATCCCCCTTGCTTTGTAGGACCTCCCTGGCTGGCTGGAGATATACAACATACACACTGAAGGTCAAAGATGTTACAGAAGGCAGTTTTACATTTATACATCAGTCCATGAACAAGCATTCATTAAGTACCTGCTTTCTGCCAGACGTTGTGCTAGACAATGGGGATACAAAGACACCCCCCCCCCAAAAAAAATCCCTGGTCTCAAGGAACCTATGTGCTATCAAGGGAGGGAGTGTGTGTGTGTGTGTGTGTGTGTGTGTGTGTGTGTGTGTGTTTGTGTGAATTTAGGTGACTTGTTCACAGTTGTACAGCTAAGAGCCAAGATTTAAAACCAGATATTCTGACTTCAAGTCTAGTGTTCTTGACAAGATGAATTATCCTTTGCAACCAGTCATGGTAAGGTGGGCTAGAGATTCTCTCCAGGTCTCTTCCAGCTCCAAGATTCCATTCTTCCAGATTACCATTTGCTACCTGTAGGACCTTGGCAAGTCACCCAATTTCTCAGGTTCAAATCTAGGATAATAGTAGCACTTACTTTCCAGGGTTGTTATGAGGATCAAATGAGGCAATATATGCCAGGGATACCATGCAATGTGTGGCACTTATCAAAAGACTTGGTACCTATCTTCCCTATCAACAGGAAAGGTTCAGGTTCACTCTGGCATTAACTATGTAGGTTGTTAAAAGGGAAGTGAAGGGAATAAGCATTTTTTAAGTGCCTACTACATGCCAGATACTGTGCTAAGTGCTTTATAAATATTATCTCATTTGATCCTCACAACAATCTTGGGAGATATATGCTATTATTATCTCCATTTTACAGATGGGGAAACCAAAACAGACAGCATAAGTGACATGCCCAGGGTCACACAGCTAGGAAGTGTCTGAGGCTGGATTTGAACTCAGGTCTTCCTGAGTCCAGGCCCAGCACACTTTCCACTGTGCCACCTAGCTGCCTCTGAATAAGTTTAAGTCTAGTCTTCATCCTCTCTCCCATTTTTACAGATAGGGAAACAGGCCTAGAGAAATTGGGTGACTTGCCAAGGTCACACAAGTGGCATGTCTTGGACCAGGCTCACATTGGTTGTGACAGGTAGGATTTGAACCTAAGTTGAACGTCTGACTCCAAATGAAGCATACTTTCCATTGTACCACAGTATGATGGGTAAAAAAGTAGGAATCCCTTCCCTATCTCAGTTTTGTAAAGATACTTAACCTGAATGACATGTATTCTTGGTATGGAGCATATGTAGAATCAGATCAAGATGCAAATCTTTATTAATGAAGAAGTAACAAAAAAAAAA